CATTGGACAAGAGAAAGTGGCATTATTTTACCCAATGTGGAAGTAACACACTATAGTTAGATTCGGCTGCCAAATCATAGCTGGGCTAAGGTTACTTAGGATTTTGAAATTGAGCCCAAATTGGAGATGGAAATGTATAATTTTGTAGCAGAATTCACAATGCGTATTCACGTATTCGTGTGTGTGTGTCTTACAAGGAACACCACCACCACGGTCGCACCTTGGTCGTGACCATCATCGTCAATAGTATCAGCATCATAACAATTGTCAACATATTCATCATCATCATCGCCACCATCAACTACGTTACACCATAACCCCCATTGTCATATCATTATTGTCATCATCAATGTTATCAACTATTTCACATCGTCATTATCACCACCATCATATCATCGTTATCAACATATCATTTTCATAAGCATCGTCTTAATCAACTCTGTCATAGCATCATCTTTACTGCCATATCGTCAACAAATTAATCAACTATTTCACTTCGTCATCATCTCCACCGTGATATCATTATCAACCAACACGTCATTAATTTTGATTATTGTTATAATCACCTATGCCACATCATAATCCCTATCGTCATATCATCAATGTCATCAACTATCTGAAATGATCATCACCACCGTCATATCATCATAAAAATTATTATTGTTCGAATCAACTGTAAACATCATCACATCATCATTACCATGAGCACGTCGCTTGCTGCCTACCACACACGGCCTGTACATCGTGGTTGCAGTCCGGGCGATATTCAGTTAACAAGCATTGACGGCATCTGGGCTTTCATGTTTTTATATTGTTTGTTGTTGTAACGTTCAATTACCCGCCCCTACTGGACATCTGTAACGAACAAAAAGAGCTTTATAGCTCATCAGATTCCTCCAGTAATTACATTAATATTCTGATGCTGAATGGTTTTCACTCAGCAGGGGGCGGGATGCCAACCAAACTTTCGCGACCGTTAAAACAAACAACCCAACATTCTCCTCCCTCCCCGCCACCACGCGCAGCCTCTGAACTCGTCCCCCGTTTTAATCGTTTTCAAACAATGCGTTGAGGAAGCAAGTGGAGAGAGCGAGTGGTGGTGGTGGGGGTGGGTAAAGGACAAATGTTTGTCGCGTGTTGCAGGTGGCGGGTTCCAATGTCATCCTGCTAATTTATTGGAAAGTCTCAGAAATGACATTTGGCTTGAGACCGCGGCGTTTAGCGACTTTCCCGTCCGCAAGAGACCCACGGCGTGCAATTTATAATCTCTGCAGACCACAGATCATTGACGACAGGCGTGGTGTTACACGTGTACACACTTACATACATTGAGAGCCTCTCATGCCAATTCCCTGGGGAGGGGCGGGGGGGGGGGGGAATGTTATATGGCCATACTTCACCACGCTGGTTGATGAAGGTGGGAAGCATAAACGTGGGAATATGTAAGTATAGCACAACATTGAATTGTATTCCCATTACTTTGCAATGCAGTCCTGTGCTCCTTGTTGCCCACCACGTAAACTTGAAGCCTAAAACCCCCGTTATGTATGGTGGGTGCCGCCTTCCATAACGCGAACCAGGCTAAACGTCCGCTTAGCTTCCGAGATTTGACGAGATGAGTCACATTCCTGGTGATTTGACCATAGGCGCGTGCGTGTCCACGGCGTCATGTGCAAGCATTGCGTTCAAGCAGAACGCCGACGGGTCTGACCGTACGTATGAACACAGGAAGCGTTGCATTAGACCCGTCCAGCAGTTCAATTGGAAGCGTGACCTTCACACACTCCAGTCGTCGAGACCCACAGCGGCATGCCCTTCCAGTCTGTGCCAATCCCCCGTTCAAATACGTGCAGATGCATTGGGTACACGCCTCACGCGCCCGATGATAGCTAAACACGTCTTAGGTGGCGTAGGGAGTGGCTGATTAAAATTAAGTTGGAGGTAATGTGTGTGCTGTATGTACCTTCGAACTAATTTTATTTAAACCCGTGGCACGCCACGGTAAAGCGAGTTAGATTCAAGGGTGTGATGTATGATAAAGGAACACGGGACGGGAAAGGGAAGAACAATAATGGTAAATAAGAGCAAAAGGATGAAAGATGAACGGAGAAACGGGAGCAGGGGGGTGGGGGGGGGGTCAGGAGAGATGAGGATTGGGAGGAAGAGGCTGCATCAGGCACTCGACGCTTCTGCGTGGAGGGGCAGCGTCTGTTTTCACAGGGGGCGGCGATGGAGGAGGAGGGGTTCAGAGTGGGGGTGGCCACACAGAAGTCACGTGATTTACGGGAGGGTCGAGCTAAATTTATACAGAGAGATGCGAGTACGTGTGACGTTGAGAGAGCTAATTGAAAATGTAAGATACACGTCGTGTATTTATACCTGTGTTGCACGTGACAATGTAGGGATTTTGTCTTTTAAGTTTCAAGTTTATTTTCTTTGACCGGTTGAGAACTCAAGAGACCAGGATGGTGTAATGTGTAAGTGACCTGGGGCCTAAGTCTGCCAATTAAGGTTCAACGATTGCTGCCGTATAATCCCAATTGATTAAGTGTATTTGTGTGTACGTGTATATCGCACGTGACGTAGAGAGTGTTTGTTTACACTCAGACGTGTTCCTCTCCGTGTTTAGCAATCATCAGGCACGTGCAGCACGTAACTACTCAACTTGTATTTTGAAAGATGAAGACTGGTACATACGGACGGGCGGACCGTGGTAAGAACAAAACCGCTGGTTCAAATATCACGCACTGCACATTTGCCGAGTTACACTGGGTTAGTCCATGGACGGGAGCAGAGGACATGGGCACGTAATTTAATTTGTAATTTGATATTTAAATCACACACAGCCCAAATTGTAACATTGTAACCTTTCCATATACAGTAATTGATTTGCTCTGGTAAGTTGTAATTTTAACATGTTTTGCCCATGCCAGCCGCACGTTCATTGTACGTCCACAGGGCCAATCGACAGTGAAGGCCGCACCGCGATGGCATTTGCAGTGGTTGGCCAAATATTAGTAAATGCCCTGTGTTTAGCCTCACGACGGAGTCTCAAGACTCGTTGAGCAAGAGGGTGCTCCTGCTGCACTGTCGCGTTTGGCCATTGCCATTCACAAAGTGACCTCTTCACGCAGAAGCAACGGAGCCTTCGTGAAAACTCCACACACGCAACGGAGATATCGTGAGCGTAGGAACCTGATTTTAATCGGTGTAATTGACATTGCTACACATGTCCCATCCACCTTTAACTTACAACCCCTTTGTCCATCCACTGCTGGATGAAGGCCTCCCCACGCCGTTATGATCACGGGGTGCTGACCGCACTTTAAACCACTCTGGTTAGTGAGCGCGTTTCGGCGGTAGTAGGCAGGGAGCGGTGGCGCAGTGGCTAGCAACACTGCGCTACGAACCCGGCGACTCAAGTTCCATTCCCGCTCACGCCCAACATCAGTGACGAATATCTTAACCGGTGCTGGGCCTCCCCTAGGCAGACTCAGCCGTAAACGAGCACCTGGTGCTGTGGGTTAAAACATCAGCACTTGGGATACAAACGGCCTACGGCCGTGGTGTTGGCCACCCACCGCCTCGTAAGGCCTTCGTCGGTGCTCGGTAGCAGCACCTGCCCCAAGTCTGACAAGGCCCTCTGGGGGATTTTTTATTTTTATTTTGGAGAGGAAGCAGCACCGATTCAGGCATCAATCGCCACTAATGCTAGCCGTGGCCGAGAATCACCATGTCGCGGTTTTATACCAGCCACCGACATCGCTATGTATCGACACTGCAACTCGGTCTGTCAGCTCCAGTGGTATCGGTGTAACATATGGAGTCCGCGTCGGAAGATGAAGACTTAATATTTTCTTTGTACCAAAAAAAGGTCTTAATTTTTGGCTGAAGCGGTTGGTAATATCCATCATCATCAACATCCTTAATCCCATCAACCGCCTATCCACTGCTGGATGGATCACACCCCATCATTATAATAGTAATAATAGTCGTGAACACAGCGGAATATAGAAGTCGCTGTACAAAGGATTACATCGGAAAACGTGATATCAACAGCAACAAAATAATTTTAACAGTAATAATTATGATTATTAACATTGACATCAGTTATTATATGTACATGGACGCACGCAGGCGCGTGTATATATAATGTGTGTGTGTACGTGCCGTATATAAGTACATACACCTACAGGCTGGGAAGGTGAATTCTCACATTGTGCAAATATCTAGGGGCACTGTCTCTGCGCTGCTCCCTGGTCAGTTTTAAATCCACGAGACGTCAAAACGACTCGGAGAAAGCACCCGGCTGGCCAGGAGATTCCAGCCACACCTTGACGCCGATAATTTCAACCGCGTACCTTTTCATTTGGTTTAGACATCCACGGGGGCACACAACGTGCGTAAAAATACATACACGCAGACACGCGTGTGTATCATACACAGACACGCGCATGTAATGAGAGCGACACATACATGGGCGGACACACCTTCGAATACATAGACACACAAATATTTATACATACACGCGGGCACACACAGACATATATCCCACGTATAGCCATAACAAACTTTTTGGGGCAAATGCCGTTAGCGAGCACCTATGAAGGCCGGAACGGCACACGAGGGGGTGGGTGGGCCAGCACCACGCCCGGCCGCTTTTGTCTTCCCAGTGCTTGCGATGTTTACACACCGTACCAGATAACACATAGGTGCACGCAAACATGACAACGGAGAGCAGTCGACACCTGTTTGAGAACAAGATAAGTGACTTAATGAGATATCCACACTCGATGTAATCACCATCACCGTCATAATCATCGTCACCAGCAGCACATGCACGTTACAACTGCTGTGTCATGTATCTTCAGATGCAGTATCATTTCGGTGGCATACACATGTAATCATGGACACCATGGTCAGCCTCCTCCACATCATGCATCATTGTGAACCGTGGTCTATCCACTGCTAGATGATGGCCGCCTCACGCCATCATCCCCTCATGGTCCTGTGAAGCCACACATCCGATCTCATAGCGGAAACGGGCAGTGGCATCCCCTCGTACACATCGAGACGTTGAATCTCTCGACTGGTCGTGGGTTCGATCCCAACCCCGACACCGTAATAGTTTTCGTTTTCTCCCCATGATAGCGTGGGGGTTTTCTCCGGGTCATCTGGTTTCTTCCCTCCACATGCATTTGGCTGCTGTTCATTTCCACATGATGTGCCACTTCGTTGAACTATCATTTGTGACCAGGTCGATTCTGAAAAAGAGCCGTATAGCTCAGTGGGGCCTTACCTGGTGAGATTTAAAAAAATGTATTTCGTTTAGTTCCTCACACAGGAATCCAAACTCCCATTATGCCCATAGAATAAAATAAAATAAAAATATTGCTGTGGTTTTCACACCTGATGATGATTGCTTGTGTTGCAGTCGAAACGTCGTGAGAATTGTATTGTTTTATATTTTTATTATTTTATTGCTTCCCTTCTACGTGACCTTACCGAAAGAACCAATAATATGCATCCCTGCAATCACAAAAGCTTTAAATCAAAGTTTATAATTAGGTCAACTTGTAACGTTTAAAATGATGTCAACTTGCAACGTTTATAATGATGTCAACTTGTAACGCCGCACCACAGTATCCGCTCCTAGCTCTCGATGAGAGAGAACGTCTCAGAGGCGCGAGGAGGAACCACAAACGAGCAGTAAAGCAGCAGCCACGCAGTGAGCCGAGTTCCAAATTCCCCTCCCCTAAGTTTTGCGGTCCTCTTTGATTTAAGGTGTTAATTGGCCAATTAACGAGCGTGAGAGGAAACCGGAACCCCCGGAGAAAACGCACGCGTGCGAGGGGACAACGCTCTATCCCATGCAGATGGAACAGGCGGAGTCCACGTGTTGGTCTACCGCCATACCGTGGCGAGCCAGGGTGCGGCAGATTCCTCGACGCCCCACGGGGAGGGGAGTTTCACAACACCTGTGGGTGATTCACCAATCCTCGCTGCGGCACTCCGCGGTGCGGGATTGCTGGGCGCGTGCAGCACAGCCACCACCTCGTTTCACTCGACACCTCGTTCTCAAAGATCGTTGACCGCCCATAAAAAAAATACGCCAGAGTAACGTGGAGTTGTCACCAACGGCTCGGCAATGAAAGGGCGTGAACCTCAAGTTTCGAGCATCCATTGAAACATCTTATGCAACCGTCATCACGGTATTCTCCTGATTATAAGACGCACTGCCCCCCCCGCCCCCATCTCCTCCTTGCGATTTAAAGCAATAGTTAGAGGTGCGTCTTATAATCCGGTAGGTGCGCGTGTGACCAGATTTGTAAAACGATATTGACCCCGGGCAGAAGTTTGGGGTGCGTCTTACTTTACAGAGTGTCTTATAATTCGGAGAAATACCGTAAAACGGAGAATACGGAGACAGGCAGGTAGACCTGTAATGATGCTCCACCTCTCGTGATTCAATGGAGTGCCAATCATAAAAAAATGTAACATTGCAGAAAACGAATCGACGTCTCTTGTGCCGTACAACAATGGTCCCGTGGAACAATGGCCGGTGGAACAATGGTCCCGTGGAACAATGGCCCAGTGGAACAATGACCCCGTGTAACAATGGAACACGGCGCATACGACCAGGGAAATCATCGACTGTCGTGAAGACGACACGAATGCGTGCGCGAGTCGTAAGCGCAGAGAGATTCACGATTGGAATTTACATAGAGAGAGAGAGACACGAACACACGCGAGGAGCAGCGGACACATGAGCAGGTTCATAATGGCATCGTTGACGCTCGCTATGAAAAGTGAGTGTGCTGGGGCAGGACGCGTTACGGCTTAGAAGGGGGCACGTGGTCACGGACGATAATGGAGTGGGCACAGTCAGAGAATTGAAGGCGTCCACCGAAGGAGATGCAGCGACGAAATCAGTACACGTGCAGTTGCTACAGGAGGTGGATTCGTAACATCGCGGGATCTTGAGAGGCTGCGGCAGCCTAGGCCTAGGGGAGGCCTGCATCCAGCAGCGGATGGAGCATGGCTGATGATGATAGCGCTGTATGCAAATCTTATGATAAAGTTGCTCAAATGAAGATGCAGCAGTTAAATAAAACAGGTGAAATACATATTATATGGGTCTTTCGGTAAAGCCACTTAGATAGAAAAATTAAAAGAAATATTTTTCTATCTACGTGTCTTAATTAATTATTTTCTATCTACGTGGCGTTACCGAAAAACCCAAAGAATATGAATTCCTGCAGTCACAAAAGCTTTAAGTCAAGATTTAGTTAAAATACAAACGTGTTCTGGGAGTGGGAGATACGAGACGATAAAGAATCGATCCTTGAATCTAAATAACCGTGGCAATCGATCGATCGCCGCCGGGACGTTGAATCATTCCGACCCGCGTCGTCGGACAAGAGGAAAACACCGAGGCAAGGGCACACGCAGACAGGGATCCATACAGACAGAGTGCGCAGACACGGAACACGTTTACCGGGACGCCGGTGAGACTGGAGTAGGCGACACGGGACTGTTGGTAAACCACCACAGCCATAGCAGCGATAGGTACAGAAGGATGTGGTGTGCCGGGTGCCAGGAATATTTCCCTCGTCACGGGCTGAGAGTAAGCCGTGAGCAGCACGTGGCTTCAGTGCGCCGTCTTGGATTCAAGACGATAATTGGCCGAAGATGACGGTGCTGCTGATGGTGCTGCTGATGCTGTTGATGATAATGATGAGGATGATCGTAATGAAGATGGTGATGATGAATCTCGCCACGTGGGCTCACAAACTTCTCGCTCGCTTGTGGCTGTTCTCACCACACCACCATCACGAGCAGCACCACCACCACCAGCAGCAGCAGCAGCAGATCTACCACCAGCACCAGCTGCAACACAACCATCAGCTGCAACACAACCACCATCAGTACCAACACCACCACAAGCAGCAGCGGCACTAGCAGCTGCAACAGAACCACCACCACCAGCCACAGCTCTATCACCAGCAACACAACCACCACCATCACCACCACCACCACCAGCCACAGCTCTATCAGCAGCAGAGTCACCAGCAACACAACCACCAACAGCAGCTCTACCACCAGCAACACAACCACCACCAGCATCAGCCGCAGCTCTATCGGTAGAAGCAGCAGCAGCAACACAACCACCACCACCAGCCACAGCTCTATCGGCAGCAGCAGCAGCAGTAGCAACACAACCACCAACAGCAGCTCTACCAGCAGCAGCAGCCACGGCTCCGTCCGTGCCGCCCGCCGCCGCCGCCGCCGCCTCGTGCAGCTTGCGCACGTGCTTCTTGAGGTCGAAGTTGCGGCAGAAGCCGCGGCCGCACGCGACGCACGTGTACGGCTTGCGCTCCGTGTGCGTGTGCATGTGGAAGGCCAGGTTGTACACCTGGTGGAACGCCTTGCTGCACACGCCGCACTTGTACTGCTTGTCCCCGCTGTGCGTCAACTTGTGGTTCTTGTAGTTGCCTGCGGGGTGGGCATTACGTAAAGATGAGGGGGGGGGGGGGGGCGGGGGCGGGGTACGACGGTCGAATGCATACGCGCAAATGAATCAATGCATCGTTCCGTTCCATTCCTGCGTACGGAGGGCGATATTGTTCGGGAAGCTGGATGGTAAAGGTTGGGAGGACCGCTCGCCACGACGAGAGGGCTTCAGTGGAGAGTCGAGTGGTGTTGCTGTTCCTTCTCCTCCGTTGCAGAATGCACAGGCTCGTCTGTTATACGGTCCATCATCGATTTACATTGCCCGTAGACAAGCATTGCCCATAACACTGCCCACAGAATAACATTGCACACATACTAACACTGCCCATTTACCAACATTTCCCATCGTTGCATATTGCTCATAGACTAACATTGCACATAGATTTACATTGCCCACAACAATGCCCAAAGAATAAAACACTGCCCATATACTAACATTTCCCATCGTTGCACATTGCTCATAGACTTACATTCCTTAAAGATTTACATTGCCCATAACAGTCCCCATATACTAACATTGCCCATATACTAACACTGCCCATTTACTAACACCATACTTGCACATTGCCCATAGATTAACAGTTCCCATAGACTCGCACTTCCCCATAGACACGTTGGCCATGACAATGCCCGTACACTAACATTGCCCAAAGACGAACACTGCCCATATACCAACATTGTCAATAGACATTGCCTACAGACCATTCCATTCTTGCCACGTGGCAGCATGTTCAGGAGGCTAAATGCCAATGTCGAGGTCTGCTGCTGGCCACGACGAGAGGGCTTCAGCAGAGAGAGAGAGAGCGAGAGAGTTCGTGTCGTTTTGCCGCTCCTCGTGCGTGTTCGTGTCCGTTAAAGGAGTGCAGGCGACGGTGGTTTACGATACGGTCTATAGGGCATTCGGTGGCTTGGCCACGATCGCACCCCTGTGGCGCTGTCTTTACTTTTCCATTCATCACAGCGACGTGCACATATCAGCCTGCTGGTGATGTCCTTATGCGGTTTATAGTGACACCAGAATCTGGCAGTGTTGCTCCTGCTGCACTGACGGGAGTGCACAAGCGCAGTTCCCGAAGGAAAACGTCACACGTTCGTCATTAACACTTTCTGTGGCCTTAAAAGGAACATTTGCGATGCGACGTTTCAGGCAATGGCCCTTCGTCATCGCACGTAAATAGAGAGGCCAGAAATTGGACGTAAGACTTATGAAGTGCAGTCTCCAACACTTGTCCATTCTACCTCTCTGGCCTCTCTATGTGCTATGAAGAAGGGCCAGTGCCCAAAACATCACCTATTATACATTCTTCAATGATGCTACAGCGTTGGGGGGGGGAGGCGGTTGGGAGGGAGGGAGGTTGTGGGGGTGGGGGGCGTTGGGGCGGTTGGGGGAGAGGGTGTTTTGGGGGGTGTCGTGGTTGTGGGGGGTGGGGTAAAGGGGGATTGGAGCGGTTGGGGAGGTTGTGGAGGTGGGGGCGGTAGGGGGGTGGGGGGGTTGTGGGGGTGGGGGGGTTTTGGGGGGTTGGTGGTGTGGGGGGGTTGTGGGGGTGGGGGTGGGTGGGGGGGTTGTGGGGGTGGGGGGTGGGTGGGGGGTTTTGGGGGGTTGGTGGGGTGGGGGGGTTGTGGGGGTGGGGGGTGGGTGGGGGGTTTTGGGGGTGTGAACGTGGCCGTGTCAAGGGCGTGTCGTCCCCGTCTCGCGAGCTCACCTTTCTGGTGGAATCCCTTGCCACAGAACTCGCACACGAAGGGCTTGAAGCCGGCGTGGATTCGCACGTGGGTGTTGAGCGTAGAGCTGCGGTTAAACGCCTTCCCGCACTGCGAGCATTTGTGGGGTCGCTCCTACGACAACAAAAAAAGACAGATCCCCCCCGTGTAGCCTTAAACAGACAGTTGGGGCAAGTGCTGTCAGCGAGCACCTATGTATGTCGGCACGGCACACAAAGGGGGTGGGTGGCCAGCACCACGCCCGGCCGCCTTTGTCTCTCCAGTACGTTTACACACCGCACCGGATACTCATTTTGGCCGTGAGTGGGAATCAAATTCGCGTTTCCGGGTTCTTAGCACAGCGCGCTAACCCGCTACTCTACCGCTCCCCGCTACTGCGACACACACACGCAGAGAGAGGGGGGCCCACTGCAATCACAGTCACTTGCTGCGCCAGTTTGCACAGTTGTGCCGCACGCCTCTCCGAGGTGCTTTCAAATGTCGCCGCGTGCCGTTCGGAACGATATCCGACGGGCTGGGAATCTCAAAAAAGTCCCCCCTCCCCCCCCCCCGAAAATCCATGCAGCGAAACGTCGGGCTTCGTGTCAAACAATCAGGACAGGTGGCAACCCTTACTCGCAGCGAGTTTAAATCAACCTCTTGAACAACTGTGCACAAAGCACTCGCGCCTATGTGCGCGTTAGGCGAAAACCGTCAGCAAGTTCCTGTAGAACTGCACTGTGGACGGCGTCTTTTGCCTCGGTTCCCCATAAAAAATAAAATTTGGGCAAATGTGGTGCCGACTGACAGCAGCAACCATTGGTGCAGTGATAAGAGACGCACGCGGACCGGTTTACTCCTCACTAGGACTCATCAGCACAGTTCAGCTTGGCGACGTGCGTCTGACTACAGGAGGTGATGACAACCGTTTGCGTTCTCCTTTGCGCGAACCCTAGCCCTGACTCTACCCCCATCTCATAGCCAAGTGCTTCTTAACCGTGACTGCAGCCATGCACCCCTTTGGTTCTCAATCGTAAAAAAAACAAACATGTATATTATTAATACATTGGGGTTTAAATTTTGATTTAAAGCTTTTGTGACTGCAGTAATTCATATTCTTAGTTCTTTCGGTAAAGTCACGTTGAAGGGAAACAATAAAATAATAAAAAATATATAAAACAATAAAAATTCTCACGACGTTTCGACCATAACACCGTTTGTGTTATGGTCGAAACGTCGTGAGAATTTTGTGTTATGGTCGAAACGTCGTGAGAATTTTTATTGTTTTATATATATTATTATTTTATTGTTTCCCTTCAACGTGACTTTACCGAAAGACCTAAGAGCATTGGGGTTTGATGAAGTAAAGTAGTTGTTTCTTACGTGCCCGTGATTCATTTGTGTTACCAATGATTTACCGTCGACACAAATCTGGCCATGTCTCGCACCCCCCCCTCCCCCCCCCACAAAGGGCATCTTCGCGTGCACCCCACGTGAAGCAACACGGTGCCAGTCCGACCCCGAACGTTCGCGATGCCACTTCCTGAACACCGAAAGTGTGAACCCCGAAAGGGTGAACCCCTTCCCCCGACAGGGTGAACCCCGAAAGGGTGAACCCCTTCCCCCGACAGGGTGAACCCCTTCCCTCGAAAGTGTGAACCCCGAAAGGGTGAACCCCTTCCCCCGAAAGGGTGAACCCCTTCCCCCGAAAGGGTGAACCCCTTCCCCCGAAAGGGTGAACCCCGAAAGGGTGAACCCCTTCCCCCAAAAGGGTGAACCTCGAAAGGGTGAACCCCTTCCCCCGAAAGGGTGAACCCCTTAAGGGTGAACTCCTTCCCTCGAAAGTGTGAACCCCGAAAGGGTGAACCCCTTCCCCCGAAAGGGTGAACCCCTTCCCCCGAAAGGGTGAACCCCTTCCCCCGAAAGGGTGAACCCCGAAAGGGTGAACCCCTTCCCCCGAAAGGGTGAACCCCGAAAGGGTGAACCCCTTCCCCCGAAAGGGTGAACCCCTTGAGGGTGAACCCCTTCCCCCGACAGGGTGAACCCCTTGAGGGTGAACCCCGCTCGCGCACCTGCGTGTGGATGATCTTGTGTCGGCACAGCGTGCTAGCCTGGCGAAACCCCTTCCCGCACACCTTGCACACGAAGGGACGCGCGCCGGTGTGCACGGGCATGTGTCTCGTCAGGTTGTAGTGTGCGTTGAACACCTGGCCCAGGTGGGGGGGAGTGGGGGAGGGAGAGAAGGGATGTCGAGATGTGAGCCTCCCCGTGTCCCCACGGCTACAGCTCCTCCACACAGCTACACTCAGCCTCCACGTGTCCCCTGGGCTACAGCTTCTCCACACAGCTACACTCAGCCTGCCCGTGTCCCCACAGCTACAGCTCCTCCACACAGCTCCTCCACACAGCTACACTCAGCCTCCACGTGCCCCTCAGCTACAGCTCCTCCACACAGCTACACTCAGCCTCCCTGTGTCCCCACGGCTACAGCTCCTCCACACAGCTACACTCAGCCTCCACGTGTCCCCACGGCTACAGCTCCTCCACACAGCTACACTCAGTCTCCACGTGTTTTCTCAGCTACAGCTCCTCCACACAGCTACACTCAGCCTCCACGTGTCCCCTCAGCTACAGCTCCTCCACACAGCTACACTCAGCCTCCACGTGTCCCCTCAGCTACAGCTCCTCCACACAGCTACACTCAGCCTCCACGTGTCCCCTCGGCCACAGCTCCTCCACACAGCTACACTCAGCCCTCCACGTGTCCCCTGGGCTACAGCTCCTCCACACAGCTACACTCAGCCTCCACGTGTCCCCTCAGCTACAGCTCCTCCACACAGCTACACTCAGCCTCCACGTATCCCTCTCAGCTACAGCTCCTCCACACAGCTACACTCAGCCTCCACGTGTCCCCTCAGCTACAGCTCCTCCACACAGCTACACTCAGCCTCCACGTATCCCTCTCAGCTACAGCTCCTCCACACAGCTACACTCAGCTTCCACGTGTCCCCTCAGCTACAGCTCCTCCACACAGCTACACTCAGCCTCCCCGTGTCCCCTCAGCTACAGCTCCTCCACACAGCTACACTCAGCCTCCCCGTGTCTCCTGGGCTACAGCTCCTCCACACAGCTACACTCAGCCTCCACGTGTCCCCTCAGCTACAGCTTCTCCACACAGCTACACTGATAACAAAGTGGAATGATCGCAACCGCAGTGGGCGCCTCACCTTGCCGCACACCTCGCACGTGAAGTGCTTGGGTTTGAGTGCCGCTGCGTGGCCGGCGGTCCTGGAGGCCTGCGACCTCGCTGTGACCCCCGCGTGAACTCCTTGCTCCGACCGACGCTTCTCCGCCGAGCGCTTGGGGCACGAGGGGGTCACAAGGGGGAGGAGGGGTCACGAATATGTCACGCGGAATCATCGTGAACCAACACACGTCATCCCTTTGGTCTCTTAAACGCCGCATCAACATCACCAGCAGAGGCCATGATCTATCCACTGCTGGATGAAGGTCTCCCCAAGCCGTCGGCATCTCTCTTAACGGGGAGGCCCTCACCCATCAGACAGAAGAGATGCACGTGCACATTAGTGCTGTTGTGTTATTTTCAGCACTTGGGGGGGGGGGGGGAGGTCCCCGTTTAAACACGGAGGGCAGAAACCGTGACTCAAACCCATGCAGGCTCAGTGCTCCGACACAGCCACGAGCGCTCCTGAGCCAGCCAGCCACTTCAACACGCGTCAGTTAAAGACCATAAGCTCAGGCTTAGAGCCTAAACCCTGGGCCCTCTAACCCCTAACCTCCGGGGTCAAGCCACAACACCCATCCTCTCACCGCCACATCCATGCCTTCCGCCCCATTTACAGCTCGAACCCCTCCGCCCCCCCCTGCAGCACCCCGCTCATGTTCACGTCTCCCTCGTGCCAGCAACGGGCAATGGCTTAGCGAGCGGGTGTGCAGGCGGTGCGACTGCGCTTCCTTTGAAAAAAAATGTTAACACTTCTGAGGATTTGCAACGATACCACGAGAAATGTGCCTCCGCGCTCTGGAGACAAGGCTGTGCATTGACAACGATGGCGAGCAAGTGGGAGACTCTTTGACTTTTTGTAGCTATTTTACGTGCATTTGTTATCATGTTACGATGTATTATCCGTTGTTTTTACATTAAAAACGATAGTCCCATATAAGTGTCAAAAAGAATATTGAAGCACTCTGTATAGACAGAGGGAGCCCAGGCACGGGGCTACGAAGCGGTGCGGTGTGGAAGGTGGAGGGAGAGGGTGCCCCACACCATCGCCGTGATTCGTCATCCATCAGGTTTGGTGGTGGCTCTCGAGGTGGCTGAGAAGTCCAAACTCTGGATCCGCACACCTTTGGGCACTGCACCAGGGGGGCGGGGGGGGGGCGCGATCACCCTCGCTTCGCCGAACCGGTGGTGGGTGTTTGCCCACTTCCCGTAAGCTTCATCGGTACATTCCGCAGGAGGCAAATTACTCGGTCCGCTGACGGTGGCGACCATCTACTGTCTTTGTGCAGGTGTTAAGCACGAGACAACGTTGAACTTTCGGTTGGGTCAGCCCTATGCGTGTAATGTGTCAATCCCAGGGCTGTATTGTATACGCAGATTTATGCGAATTTGAGCCATTCTAGCCCTTCTGGAACTTCATCAGAATGTACATCAATCAGTCAATATCTCGCTCAGTGATGGTCACCGATAACGACGTAGAGCAGCCCTCCGTCAATCAGCGGTTTGATGAAGGCCTCCCCATGCAGGGTTTGTCATCAGGGCGCCATGGTGGCTAGGAGATGTTAACTACCTCGCCTGGTATACAGGAGGTCGTGGGTTCGATCCCGACCCTGACACCTGTATATTTGGAGTTTGCATGTTCTTCGCGTGGATTTTTCTCCAGGCCCGCCGGGTTGACTCCCCCCCCAAAAAGTGGTTCTAATTTTATGTTAAATAAGAATAAATAATTAAATTAGCTTTTTTCAAATGATGACGATACATTCAGTCAGTTTTATTATTACAATTCTCTGTGCCTGTTATGGACAATGGGGGAACAAATGGTCGTTACTGCGGGAACGAGCGTTTGAGGATCTACATATCCTCTCAGACTTTGGCGTTTCACCACGAACCCCCCTCATGCACTATTCCGTTGGCTTCGCCGCGTTGGTGTTCAGTGTTGACACGCGTGTTGTCGCATACGGCACTTAATGGCCCACTCATCGCCACCGCCAGCCTAATGAGCCCCACGCCTGCCCTATGATGATGAGGGCGCTAGATCGTCCTGAGAATTCGCAGCTTCCTGTTGCCATGCAGTGTAAGTTTGGGAGCATTCACATCCTCCTGCTGCTGCTACTGCCAGTGTAAGTCTGGGAACATTCACATACTCCTCCTGCTGCTGCTACTGCCAGTGTAAGTCTGGGAGCATTCACATCCTCCTCCTGCTACTACTGCCAGTGTAAGTCTGGGAGCATTCACATCCTCCTGCTGCTGCTACTGCCAGTGTAAGTCTGGGAGCATTCACATCCTCCTGCTGCCAGTGTAAGTCTGGCAGAATTCACATCCTCCTCCTGCTGCTACTGCCAGTGTAAGTATGGGAGCATTCACATCCTCCTGCTGCTACTGCCAGTGTAAGTCTGGGAACATTCACACCCTCCTCCTGCTACTACTGCCAGTGTAAGTCTGGGAGCATTCACATCCTCCTGCTGCTACTGCCAGTGTAAGTCTGGGAACATTCACATCCTCCTCCTGCTGCTGCTACTGCCAGTGTAAGTCTGGGAACATTCACATCCTCCTCCTGCTACTACTGCCAGTGTAAGTCTGGGAGCATTCACATCCTCCTCCTGCTACTGTCAGTGTAAGTCTGGGAACATTCACCTCCTCCTCTTGCTACTGTCAGTGTAAGTCTGGGAACATTCACATCCTCCTCCTGCTACGGCTGCCATTGTAAGTCTGGGAGAATTCACATCCTCCCCTCCTGCTTCGTGAACCCGTTACTGAACCAGCGTGGTGAAGTATCATCAAATTGCCTCCTCAACCGGGACTGCGTTGGGAGGCCCTCGTCCAGCAGTGGGTTGACAACCGGGACTCTACGTGTAACACGCGTGCTTATTCTAGCTGAGTATTTTCTCATTTTTATTTCGGCAACAAGGCTATGCCACTACATTTGAAAGGCTTGTAATGCAGTAGCTCCCCCCGTCTGTCCGTAACGGGAGGGGCTAATGCTCCCGTAAGGATGGTCCGATACAAACCAAACTTCCGTGTAGAATTGCCTTTCAATTAGGGGCTTGCCCCACCGACAACCAGCCACATCGATGAAAGACGCTGCCTAAAAAAACTCGGAGGCACAACCCTGACCAAAAAAAAAAAATCACCGACCACTTACCAATTCGCAAACGAATTTTTCCCTGACAGCTACCCCCACGACTTCGGTACCGCTGGTGACTCTGCTTACAGTACGAAGGCGTTCAGCATTGCCGATTGGACACGAAAATAATCGCAGGTTGTGAACGCGTTCCGGAATCCACGCCGTATCTCGCGGTTGTTTTGTCTTCTCGTTTTTTTGTTGCTGTTGTTGTTGCCGTTGTTCGTTACTTTCCGCCTCACGTAACACTTCTTTGGTGTAAGCCTGAGCGCCGGAGTCGTAGAGGGAGGGAGGCGAGGGAGTGGCCATAAGAGGGGGAGGCGAAACACACGGGGGGGTGGGGGGGGGTGGAGGGGGTGGGGTGGGGGGGCAAGGTGGGGGGGGGTCGTGGTGGTGTGGGGTGGGGGGTGGGGGGGATGTCGTGGTGGTTTGGGGTGGGGGGGATGTCGTGGTGGTGTGGGGGGAGGAGGAGGTGGGGGGGATGTCGTGGTGGTGTGGGGGGAGGAGGTGGGGGGGGGGGTGTCGTGGTGGTGGTCGTGGTGGTGGTGGAGGGGGGGCAGCACCTGTGGGTACGAGGGGGCAGGGTTCCTTTGGGAAGGGGCCGTAGCTTCCCCTGACGCTCCACCCACCAGCGCTGCAACGAGAGACCGGGGCGGCATTGGCTGGGAAGGGCAGCGGGCGGCGCGAGCGGCTCAAACCTCGTGAGCCGCGTGAGCCCGGGTGCACTGAAGGTCGTGAAGGGACGTTCCTGTTGATGGTGACGATGTTGCTGGCTGCTCCTGCTGATGGTGGTGGTGATGATTTTGCTGATTGTGACGATGCTGCTGCATTAAGTGCGTTAGGATGATGAAGACGACGACGATGGTGATGGTTTGTAATGTCATCACCAACAGCGCCACCACTAGCAGCAGCAAAAGTATCATCGTCACAATCATTGTGGCTCTCCACCACCGCCATCATCACCGCCATCATCACCACCACCAACACAACCACCACCATCATGACCATCACCTATATCGTCACCACCATCATCATTAACATTGTCACGTCATCACCATCAATCAACATCGCCATCAAATATTCATACCAACACCACCACCATCGACTTTCCATCACCACCACGAACATCACCACCCTCCAAGGACAAAGATCCCCCCCAGTATAGCCTTAACAGACTGTCGGGGCAAGTTCTGTTAGCGAGCAACCTCTCTCCACGACACCCAGCACCCCCCCCCTCCCTCACCTTTGTTCGGCGCCACCCCGCCGCTGAGCGCCCCTCCTCCCAGCAGGCACCAGCTGATGGGGGGCGCGGGGGCCCTGGTGAGTGGCTGCGCGCTCAGTGCGCGCGGCCTCACCACCCTGAGCGCCGGGGGTCCCGTCTGCACCCCCGCTTGGGGAAAACAGCGACCAGCTCCGGCTGCAGACCCGGTCCAGCCGAGAGCGGCCTTGGACTCGCAAAGACTCGCAGGTGGCTCCGGTCCATCCACACCCTCTTGCTGGCTCTGCTGCTGCTGCTGATGCTGCTGTTGTTGTTGTTGCTGGAACACGATGGCGTGTCCGGAGTTCTTGAAGGGCAGCCACCCGCAGCGCGCCTGCTGCTGCCCATCGCTTCCACTCACCGTGGCGCACGGCAGCAGCGGAATGGCGTAGGCTGGAGAGCGCTCCGTGAAGCTCGCGGTGGCGAGGCCGGCGACGCCGCGAGCTCTGGCCAGAATGTCCGATCTCCTGGGAGCCTCGGCCATGATGCGTTCAATGGAGAAGGTCAGGGCCTTCGAGTGACTGGCCATTGTGAACTCAACTCGCTCGCTCTCGCTCTTTGTTTTACTTAATTAGATAGCTCCACACATTAAAAAACAAAAAAATAGTTGTCAATAATAATTATGATTATACTAATGGTGGCAATTCGTCAGGGGTTAGTTAGTTTTTTTCCGAACCCACTCGATATTTGCCGGAACGCTGGCTGCGAGGCTTGGTATGGGGTCGTAGAGATTATCTGTGTAAGGCACTAACACTACAACACAATCTACGTCTATCCACAATAATCCTAAATAATTCTACCCTATTTTTCCCATAATCCTACGATGACGATAATGTATCATGAGGACAAGATAAAGCGTGATGAATACGACAGGGTGCCAAAATAAGTTCGCGGGCACAGCGTTCCGGACTGTTCCCGTTATCGTTAAGCACCGTAAATAGGAAATAAATAATCTAATGGATAAATAACCGTATCAATAAATAATTACGTTAAATAAATAGGCGCGCGCGCTAATTAAGTGAGAGTAATTTGTAATTAATTAGCCGGCTCTGGAGGAGGAGGGGCGCTGTTATTATTTTGAGTCCGCGGGCAATGGAGCGAATTTCTCCATCGCAGAACTCGGAACCTGCAAGAAGACACAAGGATGGTCAGAACCTTCAGCAGAGGGGCGCCACGGTGGCTAGGAGATGTTAACTCCCTCGCCTGGTATGCAGGAGGTCGTGGGTTCGATCTCGACCCTGACGCCTGCTGTTTATTTGGAGTTTGCGTGTTCTCCCCGTGGTCACGTGGATTTTATCCGGGCCGTCCGGTTTTAGAAACACGAGTACCTGGTTTCTGTACATTTCCGCATGATAAGCCACTTTGTTGAGCTTCCAATTGTGGTATGGTCGCTTCTAAATATATATAGCTCAGTGGGCCTTACCTGGTACAAAAAAATGATCGCATCTCAGTGTCAATGCCAGAGTCCAGTCAAGTCACCTATATCTATAACCAGACGAGGAACCACCGAGACAGCCTCTCTTTTGCGAGGGAGACCTGGGGAGGGGGGGGGGCAGTCAGGTATTTACCCAGAACTCCACACGGTCTGCTGTGGGCTTAGCTCAGAGCGGTCTACCGGCACCTCGTCTAGCCGGGTGGCAGTGATGGTGGCTATGCACGTGGCCTGTAATCCAGCACTGTGGAGCCAGCGAGGGTTGGTGGATTGTGCACAAGTTGTGAAACTCCATTCCTGTGGACGTCGAGGAGGAGGAGCTATATAACACCCTGGCTAGCCAGGAGAAGGCGGCACAGCAAATGTGGACTCCGTCTGCTCCACTACCTGTATAGGAGAGAGAGTTGCCCATCTGTTCCACGTGTACGGGATAGAGTGTTGGCCACGAGCACGCGTGGGGTGTATAAACACTAATTGATTGAATAAAAACCATCCTAGTAATATGTAGAGGACCGCAGAGCTTAGGAAATTGTTGGCAGCGGCTCACTGCATGGCTGCTGCTGCCTTCCCGCTTCGCCGTGGTTCCTCCTCTGAGTCGTTCTCTGTCTACGAGCGAGGGGTGAATGCTGCGCGACGCCGCGTTACCAGTTCACATCGTTACTGTTACTATTATAATTATTATAATGGAGAGATTAAGAATCCATTCGGAAATCTCGGTGAGAAATGCGGCCCCGTGTGTCACGTGACGTCTCTCGAAGCGATCTCTGTCATTCCCAAACTAAGAGGCGCATTTTCCCCACACAAGCCAAGACACTTGGTAATGGTCAGATCACAGGACACCGACCTTTTTAATGATCACATTGGCAAATTAAACAAAAATACTCATAAATAAGTGTTCGTGAAATCACAGGTGACCGGGCTTGAGGCCATTGAGTGGCTACACTTGAGAGCCCGTCTTCCGTCAGGGTTGGGTGGCTGACACGCGGAGTCGAACTGTGGTTCTCCGGCGGGGCCCGGCGGAGAACAACCCCCCGCCACCTCCCATCACTGTGCTTGCAAGACGCGGAGCCGAGCGACGTCTTTGATGTCAGAGACTAAGTTTCGCTGACTCGATTTGCTTTGAAAGTTGCTTCAAATTCTCAACTCCTAACCATCGTCATTATCATCACCGTCATCGTCGTTGTCGTCATAATCACCATGGACTAAACGCCACGACGGAATCGTTTCACGGTGACGAGTTTAGGATGCTAATCGGAAAGCGATTACAGCCTAGAAATGACATGAGGAATAATAATAATTATCATAATCATCTCAATCACCGCCATCTACACCGACGATGATCATGATGACGTGGAGATTTTACATTAAAACTATTGGGACGGGGATAACAACGCGTTCACGACAAAGAATCGAAATTCAAAAATCATCCTCAGAATCACCCCCATCATCATCGTCACCATCACCACAAACATCAACTTCGAGACTCATCATGACGATGGTTTTACGATAAAGTGTTCAGCACGAGCATGATGGTATTCAATCTTACGACCAACAAACTCTTAAGGCGAAAACAATGTCATTTATCATCGTCATCACTATCAACCTAAAGAGTGTAGGTGGCTTTACGGTAAAGTTCTCAGGGTGGATATAGAACGCGCATGCCACGACGGAGATAATTTGTAAAACCATTATCAATATCATCATCACCATTATATAGAGCGTAAGAAATACTCATCCACCCACAAACTGGAATTTATCAACATCATCACCACCATCGTAGTCATCATCCGCACCTCCAATTAGCACGGTTGGCTACGTACGGTGCGAAAGAAGTTCAACATACATACAGTGAGGGGAAAAAAGTATTTGATCCCCTGCTGATTTTGTACGTTTGCCCACTTACAAAGAAATGATCAGTCTATAATTTTAATGGTAGGTTTATTTGAACAGTGAGAGACAATAACAACGAGAAAATCCAGAAAAACGCATGTCAAAAATTGTATAAATTGATTTGCATTTTAATGAGGGAAATAAGTATTTGACCCCCTCTCAATCAGAAAGATTTCTGGCTCCCAGGTATTTTTTTACAGGTAACGAGCTGAGATTAGGAGCACACTCTTAAAGGAAGTGCTCCTAATCTCAGCTTGTTACCTGTATAAAAGACACCTGTCCACGGAAGCAATTAATCAATCAGATTCCAAACTCTCCACCATGGCCAAGACCAAAGAGCTCTCCAAGGATGTCAGGGACAAGATTGTAGACCTACACAAGGCTGGAATGGGCTACAAGACCATTGCCAAGCAGCTTGGTGGGAAGGTGACAACAGTTGGTGCGATTATTCGCAAATGGAAGAAACACAAAAGAACTGTCAATCTCCCACGGCCTGGGGCTCCATGCAAGATCTCACCTCGTGGAGTTGCAATGATCATGAGAACGGTGAGGAATCAGCCCAGAACTACACGGGAGGATCTTGTGAATGATCTCAAGGCAGCTGGGACCATAGTCACCAAGAAAACAATTGGTAACACACTTGGCCGTGAAGGACTGAAATCCTGCAGCGCCCGCAAGGTCCCCCTGCTCAAGAAAGCACATATACATGCCCGTCTGAAGTTTGCCAATGAACATCTGAATGATTCAGAGGACAACTGGGTGAAAGTGTTGTGGTCAGATGAGACCAAAATGAAGCTCTTTGGCATCAACTCAACTTGCCGTGTTTGGAGGAGGAGGAATGCTGCCTATGACCCCAAGAACACCATCCCCACCGTCAAACATGGAGGTGGAAACATTATCCTTTTGGGGGTGTTTTTCTGCTAAGGAGACAGGACAACTTCACCGCATCAAAGGGACGATGGACGGGGCCATGCACTGTCAAATCTTGGGTGAGAACCTCTTCCCTCAGCCAGGGCATTGAAAATGGGTCGTGGATGGGTATTCCAGCATGATAATGACCCAAAACACACGGCTCAAGAAGAAGCATATTAAAGTCATGTTTTGCAGAGGGATCAAATACTTATTTCCCTCATTAAAATGCAAATCAATTTCTAACATTTTTGACATGCGTTTTTCTGGATTTTGTTGTTGTTATTCTGTCTCTCACTGTTCAAATAAACCTACCATTAAAATTATAGACTGATAATTTCTTTGTCAGTGGGCAAACGTACAAAATCAGCAGGGGATCAAATACTTTTTTCCCTCACTGTAGTTACATACTCATCATCGCTATCATCATCTAAAAATACCGTTCGTACATATATTGATGGTGTAATCACGGGTACAATAAAAAGGCGCCTCCGACAAAGAGCTGGAATTCCATGATGACGTTGACCATGATTTCGTTAACATTGTGACTCACTACCATCATTCCTATCCCCGTTGATGAGCTCTGATTCACCACGGGTAGCGTCATCCCGCGTTGTAACAGGACTCCCTTCTCTGTGTGTTGCTTGTGCGCGCGAGCACGCCGCTCGTCGATTATTTGCCGCCTAATTACGAATAATTATTTAAGTTGAAATGACTCATTGAGGCAGCTGCGTTAGCTTGCATGTGCACCTGGGGTGTGGGGCATGGTCGAGCGAGTCGCGGAGGATTCCGCTGCACGAACACTGACGCGAAGAGAATCTTCCTCAGCTATCGCGAAAGCGGCGCGATAGAGACGCGCAGTCTGCGGTCGCGACGCGGACGACGACGATGGTGACGTGATGATGATGATGTTGTTGTTGATGATGGTGATAGAACGACTGAATATTTATGCGTAAAAGTGCGCGTGGTGATCGCTCGCGCTGATGTCGGCGACGCTGATCGCGCGGAGTGAAGGGCGGTGCAGAGTTGATCATCTGGACAGTCCCACGCGTAGATTCACAAGCAAACGTGCGCGTAAACACCTCGTGTCGATCCACTGCTGGATGGATACGATGCCCTTTCTCCCCACGTCCGTGCGAGTCGTGGGGGCGGGGGGGTGTTTGACCATACTTCGCCACGCTGGTGAATGTGGATTTTCGGTGAGGATTGTATCTGAAGTGTTACGTCTGTCGGACGCAGGTTTATAGATTGGCGCCATCCATGCTATCGGAAACAATAGCAGCCTTCAACCCGCTTTCCACAGGCTTTAGCGTCACAGTCGTTCAGAAGTAAAAGTATCGGGAAATGTGATTTAATTTTTTTTAGAAATACCGTTTTTTTTATTCAGTACAGTTTTAAATGTCCAGATACAAACTATCGTTAGCCTAGTTTCCAAAACAACTAAAGTCGAAACCCTTATGCCAATATTTACGAGAGGCCTACAATAGTTTTGCGGTGTGTTCGAGTCGTAAATAAACAAAAGCATGCTTTTAAAATGTTAGTTCAGAATCGTTCACGAGCTCCACACGAGGAAAATGTTGGTATATGTAAAAAAAAATCACAAATATTTCTTCCAAAAAATTTGACCCAATTCTTTGAGAGCCCACATTCAGAAACCCACTTTTAATAATCTTTTAGTAATCCGTTTTCAGATTCCCCCGTCCCTCCTAGTTGTTATATATGTATGACTGATTATATTTGTGCCAATTTTCAGCTGTCTAGCCCTTTCTAGAACATAATAATATCAGATGCATCAACCACCGTCTATTGGATACAGGTCACAGCGTGGATACTATTCTACACATGGACAGCTCTTGTGTCGATCCACTGCTGGATTAGGACCTCTGCATATGCCGCGCGGGCTTGTGGGTGGGTGAGCGGAGGGGATATGACCATACTTCACCACGCTGGTCAGGTCGAGTAGGAGGGCGGGGGGGGGGGCACCCAGGCATAACCGGGTTCGACTCGCGTTGCGCACAGTAATGTATACCACGGCGCCACCAGAATTAAATACGGGTGGTCTAAATACCCTTGTTATAAAATGTATATAATGTGACAACCAGGGGAAGTGTGACAGTTGCTGAAAATACTCAATAAATAAAGACTATCAGAAAATGTATCCAATCTGTAAATGACGAGAAAAAGTGATCATAGGAGGGAAACCTCGGTTCGAATCCGGGTTTCACCGTGGCCATCTGTGGTGAATCTGGGGTTTCGTGGATACAGCGCTAATGGTCTCCGCCCGG